TCAGACAGACAGACAGACAGACAGACAGACAGACAGACAGACAGACAGACAGACAGACAGACAGACAGACAGACAGACAGACAGATAGATAGATAGATAGATAGATAGATAGATAGATAGATAGATAGATAGATAGATAGATAGATAGATAGATAGATAGATAGATAGATGGATAGATGGATAGATAGATAACTTTATTAATCCCAGGGAGAAATTTGAGGCATCCAGTAGCATTTTATAATTATACAGGAAAAAAAAGGTAAAAAATCAGTAGCTCAGTTCAGTTCTTGTAATGTTGAGGTTGCAGGTTTGAGCCCAGGTAGAAGGGCATCCTGCATAAAACAACTGTCAAATCTTTCGTGCTCGCTGTAGAAGGGAGCAGCTGAAAGAAAAACTGATTATTTAGGTTTCAGTATGTAACAGTTACAAGAATATAATATTAGAAATAATATATGCCATTCATTATTTTTATTTTAAAATTTCCCTCGAAAACACAAAATAATAAAAAAAGGTTTTCATAACTTTAAAACAAGTCATCCTTCTTACATTTCCAACGATGGCAACAAGGCAGGACAAACCAAATGCTGGCATTATGTCTTACCTTTTGCACCTCATTATTTTATACAGATCGCTGTTTTAGCTGTTGAGGGGAGTGGTGGCGCAGAGGTTAGCGATGGTGTGCCTGTGATTGGAAGATCGCTGGTTCAACTCCCTGTACCGACAACATCAAAATGTGGGTGGGATAGGTGAAACGCCCACACCTGCCTCCACCCTCATTCGCCCCACTCTGAGCCCTTGAGCAAGGCCCCCCAACATCTGCTCCCCGGGCGCCCTAGATGGCAGCTCTCTGCTCCACACAGAGGGCGGTGGTAGCTCGGTGGTCTGTGGTTGAGTCAGGAAAGGCATTGGCGTAAAAACAATCGCCAAGTCTTCGTGCGAATTAGTTCGCTGCGGTGACCCGACCCTGAAGAAGGGAGCAGCCGAAAGAAAAAGTTTTAGCTGTTGAGTGTGTTTGATGAAAAGATGTGTAGCCTGCTTTTGGCAGGAAACAATAAAAATGACCAGTTGAGTAAATGTCAGAGAAGTGTTGTAAAAATGTTTCTGTCTCGTCTTGCAAGTCGAGATTTTAGAGCTCAAGTGAGAATGTGTTAAAAACAAACTAGTGATCCTCAACTATTAATAAAAAGTTGCATTTTTCCATCTTTCAGGGTCTGGAGGTCGCGGACAACGACCCCAACGCGCCTCCGTACGACACGGCGCTGATCTACGACTACGAGGGCGACGGCTCGGTGGCGGGCAGCCTCAGCTCCATCGCTTCGGGCAGCTCGGATGAAGATCAGGACTACGATTACCTCAACGACTGGGGACCACGTTTTCAGAAACTCGCCGACATGTACGACCCGCGTTAGAAACATGACCTGCGAGGTTCACCGGGGGAGGGCAAAGGTCAAATCTGCGGTGCTTCTTGGACACATTGTGGTATTCTGAAAGTGAAAAGAAAAAAAAAACGTGCAACACAAACTTGTGGGCTTTGAAAGGATTGAGCCTGCGGGTTTATGACCATTTACAAAGTGGATCAATGCAAAGTTTACCGTTTAGCTCAGGAAAAGTAAAGACGTAAACTGCAGGAACAACTTCGAGTACAAAAGCTGCACAAAACGGTGTGTGTTAAAGTGTGTCCACGTCTGATGACGCTCATCTTCAGATTTTGGGAGTTAATGTACACAAAAAAAATGGAATGTCATGTTTTTTATTGTTTGATTTTTTACCTAAGTGCCTGTTTTATAAGATAAATCTCAAAAACATTACAATTTGAACAAACCCTCCACTCCAGGGTATTTAATTTTTTTAATTTTAGCACAGAACATCCCACGTAATATTCTGTCATAAATCTGGAGGTAATGTTCTTTTATGTACGTTCGGTGTGTTTACAAATTAAAGGTTTATTTCTCATTAAAAAGCTTCGTTTACTCCGATGCACCCACAGATATTTAACGTTATGTGCACGGTATTGCAACTTTAAAACAAAACCGTTTACATTTTTGGCAACACTTTCCTTTCTTCTTATCAGTTCACAGAACCTCAAACACGCTGGCAATAATTACTCCAGATGTGGGTCCAGATGTTGGATGAGTCTTTAAGCAAATGTTTCATTTAAAGCTTGCCAATGAGCTGAATCGGGTCCACAAGCGGTAAACTCTCGAGCAATTTGGGACAAAGTAGAATAAAAGAGGAAATCCACACAGCAGAGAAGAGAACAATCCAAAATGTGAACCTGCCCAGATTCAACAACATCTCCATTTACATTTGTTCTCTTTGTAAAGCTCAAACTTCGGCTCGTTTATTTTAAGACAAACCGATTGTTGAATTAAAAAATGTTTTCCACCTAGAATACAATCCACCATTTGCTCTACAACCTCACCAATATTTAAATGTTTTAAAATAAAAGTGGTATTTACTGATGCTGAAAGCAATTTAGGCAGCACAGTGGTGCAGTTGGTAGAGCGGTTGCCTCTCAGCGAGAAGGTCGCCAGATCAAATCCCACCTTTCCAGGTGGAGTTTGTATGTTCACTTTGTGCAGTGTGGGTTTCCTCCAGGTACTCCGGTTTCCTCCCACAGACCAAAAACATGCATGTTAGACTGACTGGTAACTCTAAATCGTTCCTAGGTGAGAGAGAGAGAGAGAGAATGGTTGAAAAAGGAGAAACTGGTAAAGATAATAGATGGATGAAAGCAAAAAAAAAAAAAAAAACTAAACGTAGCTTCCTTCCAGTCACCGTTTCAGCAGCACGTTTACGGTCTGATTCAGCCATCCCAGGAAACTAAAGAACCTTTAAGAGCCACTTCCTGCATGATAAAGCAAATTTTAATGTTTGTTTTCTTTAGATAAATACAAGATCTATGCTCGGGTATAAAACGTGTGAACTCATAATTTGCCTTGCTGTTCTTTTACTTCCACTTGCCAAAGTAAAATATTTCCCCAAAGAAATTCCACAAACTTGAACGTGACTAAACTCAGTACTTCGTTCAAACCATGAACACAAGTCACATTACAACACACGACAATCAACGCTGAAATGTTGATATTTTATCCATCTTAGGAGATTTCTTTATTAGCGCCACCGTATTTCCTGCTTCGACAATCAAGCTGCGCATTATCATTCGTATTCACAAAATGCTTCAGACAACGGGAGAACTGGTGAGCGTTTACACAAAAGTCTGAAGGGACTGCAAAGTTGTCAAAACTTTGATTATTCCTTTGGGCGCTAAATGGTAGAAACTCAGACCCAGGTTTCACAAAGATTTCTAACAAAAAGCAGCAAAAATGGAGAAACATTTCGCAGTAAAATCAAGCTAACTGCGGGTCTACGTCCTCCTCCCTGTGCTTGCGAGGAGGAGGCTGAAGCTCGTCTTCTCCCGTGTCTTGCTTGTCTCTCTCGGCCTCCACCCAACTCTGTGGGAGGATCTTCTTCTTGGGTCCGTAAGGCGAAGGACCCAACAAGGCCTCGATGTCGTCGTAGTTGACCACCTCATGCTCTAACAGAGTGTTGGCCAACTGGAAGGACAGAGATGCACCAAATAAGTAAAACCCTACAATCAGAAAGGGTAAAATCTAAAGAAATAAAGGATGAACTGACCAGTGCGAGCTTGTCTCTGTTGTCTAGCAGCAGTTTCTCTGTTTGTCTGTAAGCACGAGCTATCAGCATCATAGCCTCCTGAAAGAGCAGAAAAGTCCAGTCAGCTGTGGATTTAAATGGAGGAAAGAGAAAAACAAAAACGGATGCGAAGAGAAAATCAAAGAGGAGAGCGATCCTGGAACCCACATGGTCCATCTGCTGCTGCAGACCCTGGCTGAAAGGATGGCGTCCAATGGCTTCCAGTTCCCCCCTCTCTGGGAACGAGACCTGTCCGACACCGTCACACATGCCGTACTGCTTCACCATGGAGTACGCCACGCGGGTCACTTTACGCAGGTCATCCTGAGCTCCTGAAGAGTCAAAAGGAAGAAGATCCACTCACGCTTGGATGCTTGTGAATCGCAGGGCGGGAGTAAGAATTTATTTTACTCGTGATGAGGTTGTGAACGGAGTAAATGTTCATCAGATGAAGGTACCTGTGGTGACGCTGTTGAAGATGATCGCCTCGGCTGCTCTTCCTCCCAGAGCCATACACATGCGCTGAAACAGCTGCTCCTTGGTGAACAGGAACTGTTCGCGAGGTAAAATCTGAGCAAAACCCAGGGCTGCGTTCGTCCGCGGGGCGATGGACACCTGATTAACACATCCCATAAACAAGCTTAGTGTCTATTACTTAGTTTCAGGTTTGACCATCAACTTCTGTGAAAATGCAGTGCTAAAGAACTTTAATGAAATATGTCGAAGAAGCTGAAACTGAGTTGTTAAAGCTAAAAGAAGCTAAGAGGAGTGGTGGCGCAGAGGTTAGAGAAGAGGGGCCTGTGATCGGAAAGTCGCAGGTTCAACTCCCTGGACTGGCAACATCAAAATGCCGGTGGAAAAGGTGAAACACCCACACCTGCCTCCACCCTCTGGGCCCTAACCCCCACCATCTGCTCCCAAAAACAGGTCTCTCTAGAAAATGAGTTCTCGTGAGACTGCCTGTATAAATACAGGGTCAATAAATAAATAAATGTTAGCTAAAAGCTAAAGACAGCTAAATACTAGCTATATGACAAAAATTGCAAATAAGCTAAAAGCTAAAAAGTAGCAATACACTAGCTAAACAAAGTATAAGACTAGCTTAAAACGTTTAGCAATAGGCAAGTTAAAGGATAAAAAGAGCTAAATGCTAACTAAAGCCGGGGAAGCAGATGGTGGGGGTTAAGGGCCTTGCTCAAGGGCCCAGAGTGGGGCAAATGAGGGTGGAGACAGGTTTGGGTGCTTCAACTATCCCACCCACATTTTGATGTTGTCGGTACCAGGAGTTGAACCAGTGATCTTCCAATCACAGGCCCACGTTCTTTAACCTCTGCGCCACCACTCCCCCAGGAAAACACAAATTAAAAGTTGCAAAAGGATAGCTAAAAGCTAAAGGTATTAAAGACTAGTTAAGAGTAGCTACAGGTTAATCTAAAATTCAACACTAGCAAGAAGCTAAAAGTAGCAAAAGACTGACTAGAAGCTAACGGTAGCAAACGGCTAGTTCAAAACTAAACGTTGCCTAAGACGACCAAATTAGAGCAAGTGTGCTGAAAGTTTTACAAAGAAGTAGATTGAAGGAAAATGGGTGGAAAAATAAAAAGCAGGAAAGAACAGAGGGAATGCCAACTCAGTGTTCACATGAAACCATCTGCAAAGTGTGAAAAACGTGTAGATGTGCGTTGCCTTCATCACAGCCTCCGTGTGCTCCAGCAGCCATCCCACTAACGCATGTCCAGACTCGTGAAAAGCAACGACTTTCTGCTCCTCCTTAGACAGGACGTTACTCTTCTTTACGCTCCCTGATGAAACAAACCAACTTACATCAGATTTCGTACGAGTGGCACGCGCGTATTGCTTTTCCAAAACGCAGTGTCTGCCTCTGCGTACCTGCTAAAACTCGTTCAACTGCATACTCGAAGCTAATGGTGTGAATGGACTTGAAGCTCTCTCTGGCAGCGTGCAGAGCAGCTTCGTTACAAATGTTGGCGATGTCCGCACCTTCAGACACAAAGAAGCATTTTGTAATGACTGTGACGAAAAGACTTTTTAAATAAACATCACAGAGATGTTAACACGTTTGTAATCAGTCAAAATTGTCCATATTTTTACACATCAGGAAAGAAAACCCAGTCAAAGAAAACCAAATATACTTCACTTTTTCATTTATATATTAGAGAAAGATCTAAAATTATATGGTTTTGTGATAAAAGTTTGGAAACTTTTAAGATTAGAAGGTCACGTGAAGTAAAAAGAAGAGAAATCGAACGGGTTAGAGGTGTAACAGTCTTTTTTAGATCAGGTTTCCATCAAAATCTTTGAACGTTGGTGGAAGTGTGTGGCACAGAAACACTCAGAACAAACAGACGTGGATATTTGCTTTTCAGGAATAATGGGGTGTGTATTTTCACATTAAAGACAGCTGTAGAAACACTGGCCAGGGTCACGCGTGGCGAGAGATAAAACTGCCACTGGGTTTGAAACTGATCGACAAACGTTCAAGCGCAGCAGCCAGGCAGTTCTTAGTCATGACTGTGGATGTTTGCAGATCTACACAAGGTCAGGTCAGTAAAAAAATACGCGTACCACTGAAGCCTGGGGTGAGCTCAGCCAGCCGCTGAGAATAGAAATTCGCTGGTTGGGTCAACTTCAGGGCCTTCAGATGCTGCTCAAAGATCTCCTTCCTCTCCTGAAACACACCAACAAAAATAAAACAAAGCACACGGAAGTAGGCCTGTCACGATAACAAAGTTTGCTGGGCCATTAACTGTCTCAGAAATTATTGTGCTAAACGATAATATTGTTTAAGAAGAAACGTTGATTTGTTTTGCGTGTAGTACCTTTTTTGACCACAGGATGGCAGTGTAAGACCGTCTGAACCAAAGGATGGATAGTGAGGGAGCGAGCAGCGTGTCTTTAAGACAAATGGGAGGGAGGCCCCTTGACGTGACATGGGCTGTCTCTCCTTTTTTCTGGTTCTCAAAATGGTGGACGCTCGGTGTGGTTTTAGCTCTTTAGCAGAGCATTTTTCACACAAAGCATTTAATAAAACTATCAGTAAACAAGTTCTCAGCTTCTTTTTGCAGAGAAAATCAACTTTTTAGACGAAGGCACGGGTTTCAACCGTGGATTTTGGAGCTTCGACAAGACAGAGGTTTTTTCCAGAGGTCGGCCTGTTAGCTTAGCTCGTAGCTTAGCTTCTCAGCTAAACTGCTTTTAACGAAAAACGCAATTTTGGACGGTTAAAACAGATTTTAAAGAAAAAAGAGAAAGGGAGGGGTCAGTGAAGAGCACTGGAGTTGAGCCTTTTGTCATTAAGTGTCTTCAGTAGAAAAAGAGAGACACGAAGAAACGATAAAGCCAATAAATAAAAATGAGGTCGATAATTTTCATTTATCATGCGATTAATTGATTTATTGTTTATCGCGACAGGCCTACGCTGAAGTCACAGATGTCTTTTAAGCCTCCTAGACAGTTGTTGCAGAGAATCGCCTGCAGGGCTCGTGGTTCTTCCTGAATGAGCCGACCCATAACAACAGAACTCAAAGCTCAGGACTACCTGCAGCGTGGGCAGATCTATGAAGATGTGTCTGTCCAGCCGGCCCGGTCTCATCAGTGCATTGTCCAACATATCTGCTCTGTTAGTGGAGGCAAGAACAACGACGGGGCCTGCTGTTTCCATTCCTGCAATAAAAGGAGATTTCTTTAGTTTGTCCGACAAGTCTAGAACCGGTCTGAAATCTGGTGTTTTCCTCACCATCCATCTCCACCAGAAGCTGGTTGAGCGTCTGCTCCTCTTCCGTATTCAAGACACCAGACATGTTGCTGGAGCGCTCCCTCCCCACAGCATCGATCTCATCGATGTAAATGATGCAGGGCGCTCGAGAACGAGCCTCACTGAACAGACTCCGGACTCGTGCAGCACCAAGACCTGCACACAATCACAACCCGAGTCACTTTGGAAGCGTCTCAAGTAGAATCACAAAAAAGTTCAGCTTTACAAAGAACAGCTGTATTTCACTCCAGATGTTGATGCCTCTGTCTCGACTGTCCTTCCTAAAAGTGTTTTGTTCGGTCAGGCTCTTTAAGTGGCTCAAAGAGCTTCATTTTTACCAACATGTATCCTGTTTTTAAGACCGCAATATTACGAACACTGTACCATTACATACGAGAACATGATAAATCTCCTCAAACTTTCTGTTTACAATGAAAAAAAAAAACTGATGGACGACGTCACAATATAGTTTTAGTCTTCAATTTTCATAAAGAAATTAAAATAGGAATAAATGAAAATTTTATTTACCAAAACCATTTTTTTTTTCTTGAGCACCCTTTATCATTTATTTCTGCACTGTATCGTTAGATGACTTTGTCCCATTCAAACCCAACACGCCAAATGTTTATTTGTATTTTGAGTTATGTTATATATATCTATATATATATAGATATATATATATATATATATATATATGTTATATTTACTAACCTCCAATTGAACTTACCTCCAATGACCTCTACAAACTCTGAGCCGGCCATAGCCAGAAATGGCACTTGGGCTTCTGTAGCCACAGCCTTCGCTAGCAGAGTCTTGCCACATCCTGGAGGTCCGAGCAGCAGCGCACCCTTTGGAACTTTGGCTCCCAGCTGGAAGTATCGTTTTGGACTCTGCCGATGATAAGAACCACAAAAGTAAATTCAATTTGCAGCAATTTGCTTAGGAAGCTCAAACTGCGTTGTTAAAATTAGGATAAGCAGAACAAGGGCTACAACAAGCACAACACGAGCGAAAACTAAAAGAAGAGAGCAGTAGCTAAAAGTAGCTAAAGATTTGTTGAATCTAAAATCAGCAAATCAGTTGCTAACGCTAAAAAACGCAAAACGTACTAAAACTCTGTTAATGTCTGCATGTGTTTTTCTAAAGTTTGCAAAACACATGCAGACATTAACTACAACGTAAAAACAATTAGTTGAATGGATCTGTAAACTAATTGTTAAACAGATGATAAAGATAGTAAAATTGTAGCTAAAGTTAGAAACAAAACTGACAAAATGTAAAAAAAATATATATGGCAACAGATGCTAATATTTGCTACAGTGTAGCTAAAAGTAGAAAAGCAGAGGCTAAAAGTAAACTAGCCACACACTGGTTAAACCTAAAATCAGCAAAACGTGCGAAAAGGAACAAAACTGTAGCTACAGTCAGCTTACTACTAAGAACAGTAACGCTGGTTAAAAAGTGATAAAATTTGTACATTTGTAGTTAAAAAAGAGAAACAAAAAACAGTCCCAATGCTAAAATTAGCAAAACAGATGCAAATATTAACAAAACTAGCTAAAAGAAGCAGAACTTTGTTTAAATCTAAGTAGCAAAATGCCAGCTAAAAGTTAAATTTAGCATAAGAAAAAAAATACAGCAACCATGCTGAAGCAGACAGACATTTTTGAAAGAAGTGAAGTGATAATGTATTGCTATTGGGGATTGAAGATAAAGTTTAGTATTTTGAAAAGTGTAAAAGTTACCAAAAACACAAATTATGGGAAGTACAGGTAATCACTTTTTGAGGAAATAGTTGATTGCAGGATACAGTGGTCACAGAAAACTAATAGTAAAATGCTGATTCAAAATTCTAACAATAAAAGTTTATTCTCTGACAATCCTTCCTGTGCATCAAGTCATAGCTTTAGTGTGTAAGGGTCGAAGCAAGCTCAGTAAAATAAAAACATGCGAGTGTGGTTGCTTACCTTTAGGTAATCGACAAACTCCTTCAATTCCACCTTTGCCTCGTACATTCCCGCTACATCTTTAAAACTCACACCTTTACCGGATGTCCCGTCTACAACGGTGAACTTGGCCCTCTTCATATGATTCTAAGTTTGTTGAAAGATGAAAATTAGCGTGCCTGCCCGTCAGATCAGTGAAACGAAACAAGCGCAGACACAACGTTATATTTACTCACAAAAGCGCTGAAGCTTTCTCGGGCAAACATCCTCACAAGTCTGATGATGTGCCAGAGAATGAACGCACCAATAGCAACCGTCGCCGGAGATATGCTGCAAAAAGAAAAGATGAACAAATGCTACAATGTTTCTTCAAAATATGAGAAATGTAGCTTCAGCAGAATTCATATTTAAAGACACCGTGAGTGTTTTAAAGCAGGAGTTCCCAAACTTGATATTCACATGTCCAAACCCTGAATCTAGATAAGCTCTAAAATCCTGACCAGCTTGCAGTAAACAAATATTATTTATTACATTACATTTGAAATTAAATTAAATTTGTCATTTAGAGCCCCTCTACCTCTAATCTGTCAATCTTTAGGGGAAACAGAAGCAGTTTAAAATTATTTAAAAAGATCAGACGAATTAAAAATTAAAAATTTGAGCTTTTAGAATCTGAACATTTATCTTTCCATATTTTTTATAAAGTATCTTTATGTATTTATGTATGTATGTATCTCTATTTTATCAGTTATAGAGTGTTGAATTAGGCTCTGTTATGGTTTAATTTTTCATTATGATACTGTCAAAAAAATAGCTGCCAAAATCTATTTTTTTTATAAAATCATCCGGTGTGAGACACAGACCTGCAATAAATGTTATTCAGATCTTCCTCTTTGTCATGAAGATGTTAGGATGTGAAACATGAAGCTCTGCTCTTTTAAGCTGAAGGTCCACTGATAGTTTTGCTCTAGAATATTTTATTTGTTTTACCTTGGATTTCAGAGATTATTGAGTTTAATGTGAGCTGATGGGCTGGGAATTGTTGATTGTACCGGTAATCTTTATCTACAATAGAAATGGAAGACATACTGTATTGTTAAACCAGGAAAAATACAAAAAAAAATTTCACATTTCAAGCCTGTATTGGTTGGAACGGCATCGTGTGGAAAAAAGTTGACTCCATAAATTTCTATGCAACACATAAACTGGATCTGGATTGACTTGTCTGAATCCAGAACCACGTCAGGACTTTGAGAATCAGTTATAATGTTTAATGATTTTTTTTCCCAAGGCTGACACGTTCAGCCAGTGTTTTGTTCAAACCATTTTTTTCTTAATCCAACCTTTATTTATCCAGATCCCATTGAGCCTCGGGGACTCATTTACAACAGAGACCTGATCCTTAGACATCTTCAGACAATGAGTTTTTTCAACCTGCTAATGAAGCATTCATAGAAAAAGTCAGACTCCTACTTTCCAAAGAATCCAACGCGTTTGTAGGACACTGGTATTCTGTCCTTAGCGTCGATGTTCAGCTCTTCTTCAGCTGCCCTCAGCTTCTCCTCAAATTTATCAACGCTGGCCACACGCATTTTGTATGCAAGCGCCTGCTTCTGCTGAGCAAGAAAACGACAGGAGGTTAGAAGTTCACAGCTCGTTGCTCAGGTTCAGATGTCGATCTTGCTTCTGCGTGAAACCCCACACAACGTACAGGTCGTCCAAAAATAACTGCTCCCGGGTGAACGTAAATTTTCACGACGTCACTCTCAGGATCAACCTGCACCTGAGACACCTCTCCCTTGGCCAGCATCTCGTTGACAAAGTCATTCCACGAGATGTTGCTATCGTTGATGTTAAAGTACTTGGTCAGGCTCATAAGGAGTGCTAATATGACGAGGAGCCGCAGGCGCTCCAAGTGATGCTTCATCTGATCGCGGCGTTTCTTCTCCTCTGAAATTTAAACGATAAAAGCAAATCAAAAATAAATAAATCGTAAAACCCGCGACACGTGGAACAGTTTGACACATACCTTCGTCTTCCTTTGGAGTTTTCCCTGTTGGTTCGGAATTTTTATTTTGCTCTTGTTTAGACTGAGATGCACAGAAAAAGTTTGTTCCCCCTGAAATTCAAAAGATTTTGCACACACTGTTTGCAGTGATCAACAACTAAAGCATGGAGGGATATAATCACAAGGAAATGACGCGTTTACCTAACAGCTTTACCAAACCAAGAGGGTTTCTCAGCAAGTTGTTCCTGATTAACTCCATGCGAAGTCCCACCATGCCAGGACACAAAGGTCTGTGAAGAAGACACTAAAAAAGAAACATGAAAGGGTGAAAATTAAAAGAGAAAATGGCAATTTAATCTCGATATCCTGAAATTATCACTGACCGGGAAAGGAGGCAAAAAAACAAACTATGTATTACATTACATTAGAGTAGCATTTAATATAAAAGTATTCCTTTCCCCCACTAAAGCTCGGCTAAGGATGAAAACTCTAGCGTTGAGGGAATACATACCTGCTGCTTTCTACACCAGTTTTAGACTAAGATGCCCTTATGCTGAAAAATTACTGGAATTAGAGCAGTTTGTCAAAATGTGAATATAATGTTATGTGCAATCTTGCGCAAGATGTCTCAGTGTGTGTTGTGAATGACTCTCAGCTACTGCCACGCCAGATTTTAGCTCTAGATCTGTCAAACTAACAGAGTAGTCATTTTAGTGTTGGCTGAGATTGATTAGCTGTGGTGACCACCTTGAACTGGGTTGACTTCAGATGGTAATCAGCTGTAGATGTACATCCAATGTTTATTTACTGCACGTTTCAATAAAATCCATCCAGCTGTGCATGAGATTTTTTACTAACAAACAGGATGGACAAACACTTCATGCTACATTTTTAGGCAAAGGTCTTTTGCGATGAGTAACATTTAGAGTATACGTTGTGAATGACTCTCAGCTACTACCAGTTGTTTAGCAGAATATCGGTATAATTGACCATCTAGTTGGCTCAAAAGGCTAATCCAGCTGTAAAGACACACATCCAATGATTATTTCCTGAGTTTTATAAAAGTATGCCCAGTAAATCACGAGATATTTTGGCAACAGACAAACTCACAAACACAGACACGAGCAAAAACATGATCAGCCGCCTTCGCCTCGTTATAAGGAGCATAACAAAAGGTGTTTCTTGTAGAAAAATAAATATGCACGAACATGACTTACCTGACTCGTATCACAAATAAGTTTCACTAAAAAACAAGAGAGGTCGCAAACTAGAAGTCACTTTTATTTTGAAACGCACGGCATTGATGATCACGGTTTCTCACCTCAATGATTTTCTTCTGTGGCTGATTTGTTATTGTCCGCGCTGGTCTTGAAAAAATCGTTTTCCTGACATCACACCGTGACAGCACATGTTTACCGCTGTCTGTGCTTATCTGTTTGGTAGTTAAAACGCGAGCGTTTCTTTTTGAAAGCGTTACAAGCAACCATCTGTGTTTTCTACAAACACCGACGGCTTGCTGCGACAACAGAGCTAACATTGTGTCTTTTACCGGTCAAACTGAACATGAACTGAACAACTTCAGCGCCATAACTTGAATAATTTATGTTACTAATACTGAGCGTAAAAAGCCGTTTGTTTACCCTACTTTAACCTTAGTTTGAGCCAACGTTCTCATACGTCATTCAACTGCGACGCTTTTTCTTCTTCTTTGGTATTTTGAAAGATATGGATCAGCGTTTGGGTGCCACAGCGCCACCTTCTGGATTTACCGCGTTATTCAAAAAGCGTTCAATACTAAAACAACTGGACTTTATTTGTAACAGAAGACGTTTCGCTCCTCATCCGAGGAGCTTTCTCAATCCAAAGAGCAGAGAGTGAGAGATACAGGTTATAAGGCTGAGTGAGATAAGACACACACACACATACTGTATATGTAGATTGGCAGTTCACACCTAAAAAAAAAAACTAAAACAGTAGGTCTTTGTTCCTCTAATTCACAGTCGAGGCCCCTCTGTTCCCATCAGGTGTGAAAACCGGCTGGGGATCTGTTTTAAAGTTGCATTATATGTTTTTGAAAGTGGAAATCTGAGGCCTCCTCCTCTGTTAAGAGACGGTTTTTCTCTTTTTACATAAATTGCTTCCTTCTCAAACCATCTGTGTTCTCGGTCCAAAATGTGCACATTTTGGTCCTCAAAAGAGTGTCCCTTATCTGTGAGGTGGAGGTGAACAGCTGAATTTTGTCCAGAGGAGGTGGCTGTCCTGTGTTGAGCCATGCGTCTGTGAAGAGGCTGTTTAGTTTCTCCAATGTAGAGGTCTGGACAGTCCTCGCTGCACTGGACCGCATACACTACACCACTCTGTTTGTGTATGGGTGTTTTGTCCTTAGGGTGGACCAGCCTCTGTCTGAGAGTCCTGCTGGGTTTGAAATGTACTGGAATCTTGTGTTTGTTGAAGATCCTTCTGAATTTCTCTGATACTCCAGCAACATAAGGGATGACAATGTTTTTACGTCTGCTGTTCTCCTTTTTCTGTTTATTGGTGTGTTTTGTAGATTTCCTTGCTGACTTGACAAAAGCCCAGTTAGGATATCCACATGTTTGAAGACGTCTTCTTCTAAAACGTCTTCTGTTACAAATAAAGTCCAGTTGTTTTTGTATTGAACGCTTTTTGAATTCATCATGTCCTGGATGACTGAGAATCTTCACCAGCTTACCGCGTTATTGTTTTTTTTTTATATACTGCATTGAAAAATTAAAGCATTTTCCAAGTACAGTAACACACAAAATTGATAACTACGGGTTCCACTTTGTTTGTATGAATTTTTTTTTAACACTGTCAGTAAGTTTTGACAAAAAAAAAGTCATAAGGCGAGATTTCTTTCAGCTGCTGAACAAAATTTGTTCTCATGTTGCAACATGATTTGCTTTGCGATTAAAAAAGTCAATACACTTGAGCCATTGTTAAATGGACCAGTTTTGACTTATAAAAGTAATATTCAGTAAAAATAAAAACGTGTCATTTCCAGCAGAGGGTGCTATTATATAAGATGACGCAGGTATTATTCAGTAGATTATAAAAAAAAAGTAAATAATGTCCATTTTCTATTGAACTTGTGAGATTTAAGTTTTAGGATGTCATTTAATACATTTCACATTAATGTTGGTTTACATTTTTCATCCTCACAAAATATTTTTGCATGAATCCCCTCTCTATTGCATTAAGTTAATTTAGCCCAAGGAGTATTAATTAATGTCAGTCATTTCTCAATGTTATAAACATTTTATTGTCGATTATAATTTAATTGTGGATGTTATAAACAAATTAATATAAACTATATTCTACTGCTACGTGTACAGCCAGTTTAATTGGCTTGTGTCATTAACCAATGGGATAAATTTTTCTTTTAACCAATAGGAGGCCTCGTATCATCCTGTAGCGTTCTGTTTTGATCACGGGTGCGTTCGCTTTATACTCCAAAACGTCCCGTTGATTTCACAAAACAGTCCTGTGACACTTTTAACCCCCGTTTGGGCTAAGATCAGTACAGATCAGCATTTTTTTAACGCGATCAAAAAAAATAATCTTACTATACCTAAAACTTGACAAGTGCCACGTTGCAATATATATATATATATATATATATATATGCTCAATAATCCACATATATACATTATATTTAGTAATAGAAATAAAATGATTGAAGTCCCATTTAAAATTGACAGTATTGAAATTCATAGAGTTAATGAAATGAAATTTTTGGGTGTCGTTATTGATGAGAAGCTGACATGGAAATCTCATGGAAATTACTTAAGAATAAAAAATAGTAAAATCAATTGCATATAAAGTAAAAGAGTTTTTGAATGACACAGCTTTGTATATATTGTATAATGTAATTATTGTTCCGTATTTAATCTATGGTATTGAAGTTAAGGGAAAAGCATGCAAAACAATTACAAACCCTATTTTTATTTTATAAAAAAGCTCTATAAGTTTTATTAGTAGGGAGTGCTGTGGTCACGCAACAAATATTATTTCAGTTGAGATTATTAAAATTTTATGATTATTTTGCAAGTCATGTACAAAGCTCATAAACATATTACCCCCCAAATATTCAATTAAAACGTGTTTAAAAAGAGAGTCATTATAACCTTAAGGGAATGGAAATGTTTGTAGAACTAGTCTGAAGGAGCGCTGCATTGTTCAGGGGGCAGGATTGTGGAATTACCTTGATATCGCCATAGAAACTTCTAAAACAATTTATATTTTAAAAAAGATGATTAAGTTAAAATTGTTAGGAAAGTATGGTGCCATGTGAAGGATGTCTGATGTTGTTTTGTTTTCACTTTGGGGATTGTTCAAGCCTGAGTTGTTTCTTTATTTTATATATTTTTTTAAATAAGGGGCAGATATTAACTCCACACAATCTCAATAAGGATTAAATACATGCCGACCACTGCTAAAACATGCACTCTGCTTACACTACTGTGCTGTAAATAGTCTGCCATTCTCAATATTCCAATACATACTGAGTATTGATATTGTTTATCTTACTTCTTTATATATTGTTTAACATTTAGGAAATGTTGTGTGAATCTTTTTATCTGTTGCTGCTGTTACACTTGAATTTTCCATTTGTGGGACAATAAAAGGCTGTTTCTATTCTAGTCTATAAGAATTTTCTTATTCTTTCTGCACCCTTTTCATTCAAAGATTATTATTTTTTGGATGAATTTGTTTTGTTTCTTTTAAATGAATGAATTAATAAATAAATAAATAGTAAATAAACAAAAACGTAATAACATTAATTATATTATTTATGTAAATTGCAGTGTTTGATCATTCCGAGTGTTAGCAAACGATTTGTATTTTTCCACCGTTTATAAATTTGAGATTTAATTTGAAAAATGAATGAACAAACGTTTTTTGTTTTTTTTTTCCTGTGTGAACAAAACAAGCGCTACGTTGACGGAACTCCATTTCCTTTTCTTGGTCCTCCAACTACATAATGGAGTGTGGTCTGTCGCGCGTGAAACTGTGACACGATCGTGGCCATGTTGGGGCCCCGCTCAGCTTCGCTTTAAACAAGCCCAGCTTCCGGAAAAGATCCAAAATGGCGTCAGTTTCTTCCCTCGACAGAGGATCCGCCCATGGAGCATGAGCCAATCAGAGAGCTCCTTCTATCCCGGATGCGTTTCCGTCTCGAGCGTCTACACAACTAAAGTCAAAGGCCGCTTGAAAACCGCTCGAATGGGTTGGCGGAGAGGATTAAAGCGAAACAAAAATATGATATTTTGATGCTTTGCATTCACCCAAGCGAGCCTACTTTTGTGCACTTGGAGAGCTAATGGTTTTAAGATTGTGACGGAGATGAAATAGCAACGCCGTAAACGATTTCTGGTGGATATTTTAGTCTGCTTTTCGCGGGACGCCTGTTTGTTGGTGTACACGGTTTTAACAAGCTAGCGCTAGCCTCGACTCTGGTGAGCTGCTCTTTAGCTGCTATGGTCGTCGCAGGCTTGTGCGGATGTCTCCGGAATTTATATTGAACCGACTGCAACAAATGGGACTATCCAGCATCAGTCGAAAACACTGCGGCATAGACTAAACAGCACAGATTCTGGTAATTTGGATTCGTGGGGATTTAGAGGTAAGTGTTGCTGCATGCTAACATGTTAACAACAACAAAGTGCCGCTGCTCTCACGGTTAACTGGTTGAATGTTGTGCTGTGGCAAAGGTCAACTTACAGAATCTTTATTTGTTCATGGCTTTTGATTAAAAAATGCCCACTATTGTTTTTTGTGGTTGACCCGAGCTATGTTGTGATTATTTTTTTGCAACCTTTATTTATTCACATCGGTTTTGTGTTTTGAAGTGATGCAGTGGATATTAAAACTGCGTTATTTTAAGTACAAGCAAGTGCTTTGGCATAGCAGATTTGCGTGACTGTGCGTGTTTTTAAACACTTATTTTGGGAACAGAATTAATTACCATCCTTTTGTAGGATTTTAGGGTTGTTGTTTTGTTTTTTTTATCACTTTTTACGGGCACTTCCATTTCCCAGACTATAATTACTATCACATTTCTCAAGGGGAGCTCTTAATAACATCCAAATGTTGACCCATTTTAAAAGGCTCATTTGGCAGGAGATCTAAACATTTCCATTAGACGTGCTCTGTTTTATAAATTCGTGGCATTAAGTCGTTTCCATTTGCTGGACTGTTCCAGAACGAAACCTAAATAGATGTGCTGCAAGTCAGGCAATAAGATCATCAGAACCAAACACGATGGATTTTGTGGTGCTGTTTTAAAATAAAAATCTGTTGAGTTGTTTACTTGCATCCTGGAATTGCTGTTAAGTTCATGGAGTGACTGTTTTCTGTGTAACATGTTTTGTAAAAGGAGAGGCTCGACGTGGTGGGATTTAGGATTAGCTTTAGCAGAACTGGAATATAGAGGAGAAGCTTAGCACTTTGGTGCAGAGACGAGGAAAACACTGCAGTGCTGCTGGAGGTGTTTTCCAACAAGACACTGTTGTATCTTGTAGAGGCGTTTGGGTTGACTACACTGCAGAGGCGATGATGCATATCTGTCTCCTTTCAGCTTGGCTCTAGCTTTATTTTATTTTTTTAAAGGTATTGGATGTATTTTAAAGATTTAGTGCTATTGATAGTTACTGCCCTTTTCTGTTACACGTAGTTTTTGTGATATGCATGTAGAAATACCAGCTTTTTGTTTTTGCAAAATTATAAACAAAGGTGGTCTTACTTATGTCCAGTGTGTATAACAGCAAACTGTAATTGTTACCAGTGGTGCGCTTTAGGTGAATATCTTTTCACAAACTAAAGGCTAATGATTGCAGAGCTGATTGACTTTATCAAACTGTATGTCCCATCCGGTTTCTATTAGTGTTGGTGAGATTTGGCTCCTGTTCCCATAAGTGGTACCATAGAATCATGGCACACTGTCTGTCTGCAACAGGAAATGGAGCTCTGCTGGGGTTAGAAAGGTCATTAGCCCAGGAAAGAAAGACTGGTTGGATTTATACGAAACTGCTCTTCTGCTCGGCAGCAGATGTTGTCTTACAGCTTTGTAGATTTCAACAATTGACTGTTTTGCATGCAGGACCAACCTGCAACACAGTTTGTCTCTCTCCAAGTTGTAAACACGACTTCCTTTTGTATCCCTCTTAAACTATCTTTATTTTTGTATTTGTCCTTATGGTTTTATTCTTTTAAAGCAGGGGGTGGGCTAAGCACAGAAGGATGCATCATAGTAAACGCATAATAAAAACTGAATGAACATCACTTGTTGTTGTTGTATGAGCAGAATAAATGTTTCAATAAAGAAGAACTTGTCTGAGGGACCTGACTCAACCTTGATAAGTCAAAGACCGTCACAATCACTGACCAATGCAGTCTGGGTGTAAAGTAATATTAAGAGCTCTGTTTCAAAATGAAAAATAACACAAACTTGCCATGAAAACACAGAACTTGTGTTGTTCAATGTGTTTATTTTTATTAAACAAGCTGCAGTGGCTGCGTACTAGATTTCATCGTGTGAATAGTATACAGAGAGAACGGCTTCAACTCTGGGATGTTGGTGAGTTTTCTCACATTAACTGCTCGCTTCTGGTCCTTCCACAACATTTGGATTGGATTAAGGTCAGGACTTTGACTTGACCATTCCAAAACATGAACTTTGTTCTTCTTTAACCATTCTTTGGTAGAATCACTCGGGTTCTTAGGCTGCATGACCCACCTTCTCTTGAGATTCAGTTCATGGATAGATGTCCTGACATTTTCCTTTAGAATGATATAATTCAGAATTCATGATTCCATCAATGGTGGCAAGTTGTTCTGGCCCAGATGCAGCAAAACGGGCCCAAACCATGATACTACTACCATGTTTCACAGATGAGATAAGGTTCTTATGCAGGAATGCTGTGTGTTCCTTTCTCCAAACATGACACTTTTCTTTTAAACTAGGAAGTTCTATTTTGATCTCATTCGTCCACAAAACATTCTTCCAACAATATTCTGGCTTGTCCATGTGATTTTTAGCAAACTGCAGATGAGCAGAATGTTCTATTTGGAGAGCAGTGGCTTTCTCCTTCAACCCTGCCATGCACACCATTGTTGTTCAGTGTTCTCCTGATGGTGGACTCATGAACATCAACATCAGTCAATGTGAGAGAGACCTTCAGTTACTTAGAAGTTACCCTGGGGTCCTTTGTGACCTCGCAACCTATTCCACGCCTTGCTTTTGGAGTTATCGTTGTTGGTCCACCACTCCTGGGGAGGGTAACAAGGATCTTGAATTTCATCTATTTGTACACAATCTGTCTGACTGTGGATTGGTGGAGTCTAAACTCTTTAGAGATGGTTTTGTAACCTTTTCCAGCCTGATGAGCATCAACAACTCTTTTTCTGAGGTCCCCAGAAATCTTCTGTGTTCCTGATATGATCCACTTCCACCAACATGTTGTGAAGAGCAGACGCTGATAGATCCCTGTTCAGGGTGCCTGCTCACACCTGATCATCATCCCATTGATTGAACACCTGACTCTTTATTTCACCTTCAAAGCAAGTGACAATTCTAGAGGTTCACATACTTTTACCATCACAAATATGTAATATTGGATCATTTTCCTCATTAAATAAATGACCAGGTATAATGTTTTTGTCTCATTTGTTTAACTGAGTTCTCTTTATCTACTTTTAGGACTTGTGTGAAAATCTGATGATGTTTCAGGTCATGTTTATGTAGAAATATTAATAATAATTCTCTAACATTTATGTTTGTAATGGGCGACTTAAACTTGTTTGCTTTTCTTTTGATATATTTAGCCAGTTTTCCACAGTTGGCATGAGCATTTTTTGACATTTTTGCAGTTAAGGAGCATGTTCGAGCATCTCAGTCTGTGGTTACAGTTAAACTGGTGGGTCTCAAAGTTGTGGTTGGGAACTCGCTATGTGGGGTCAAGTTTGGGATCTTAAGATCTTTTACAGAAACTAAATAAAATAAAAAAATAATTACTAATAATTTTATCTTTTCAGTCAAAGCTGTTGGAAGAGTTTTTTTTTTATACAGTTTTATACATAAAATAAAGTACATATATATATAATTAGTAAATAACAGTCTAATGATGGTTTTAGTCATTTAGCCTCATTTAATTGGCCTAGTAGCAAATGTTTGCATACTTTGACCCAAGAGGAGTTTCTGCTGCGGTTATTTTGTGGGTTGGAAGATCAAAGATCACTGGTCTGATATGTTTTCTTTCCCACTGTATATTTACTGTAAGAAAAGGAATTTGATCAGTCAAAAGTCAACCAGACTCCATGATGATCAGTGGCAATAAACAGTCCATTGTTACTGGGCTTTTTCCAGTTGACCTATTACCTCACAGATCAAAACAAAGAATTTAGCTGATCCAAACAGGCACAGTGTTGATAGGTGAATTAAACCTTGTTACTGCTCTGTACATTTTGCAAGTGCTCTATGCCTCTGGGTTTCTCTTTGTAGTTTGAATCTCTCAATTGTCTACAGTTTTGTCACTTATGTACCGTCTTCTTTGGGTTCCCTCTAGGTCAGAACCAGAGGAGCACGCTCAGAGCAGCATCTGGGCCATTCTGGGTACAAATGAACTTGCTGGAATTTCTTGACTCCAGATTGCATTATTCAGGTGTGCTTGTCTGAATTTGATACAATTTTGTGTCACCTTTAGATTATAAATTGTCAGCACGTGTTTTAAAAGTCTGGTTTCTGTCAGACTAACAATATTTTACTAATTCTAATGTCCTGACTGAAAATTTAGTTGTTCTGTTGTGGTCCAAAAGTATTGTCATTTTTTTTAACCTCTTATATTAAATGTTAAATATGTAGGAGGTAGTGACACAAAATGCACTACTGTTTGCAGTTTTATTCCTTGAAAATTGTTTCACAACAGTCCTCTTGTGTTTCAGAGGGAAGGATAAACTTCTCTTTTGCATCATTTCTTCTGTAATTGCTCAGGATGGGGGATTGTGCCTTGGTGAATTTTGATGCAATCTGCTCGTTTATTTGGTTCTGCTTATTTTTTTCTAATTCAGTGTTTCCCCTACCATTCTACAAGCAGGGCTTCTCGGCCTGTCAACAGAACTGAACGCCCTGTCTACCGAACTAAATTGTGAGCAACCCTTCCCCCCTGCGGTACAGTACATGCACGCTAGCCTGCCTCTTCCCTCACACTGAAACCCCCCCCGCTCAAAACTGTTGGTACAAACTGCGTGCAGCTCAGGATGTGTGTGC